CCCCCCCCCCCCCCCCCTCTCTCTTGTAGTTTTGGTGATCGCTGCAGTCGGATGATGGCCACAAGGAGGCGAAGCGGGAACTGGGCAAGGTACCAAAAAAGAAACCACGACCCCCGGGAAGGTTTGGGGGCACCATTTGGAAGCGCCCGGACATTGGCGCTTTCACATTTGTTTGCCTCGAAGGACACGGTAGCAGTATACTGCACCCCCTCCCTCTACCCTGTCTCGTGCTCGGCTGCCTTCGCCATCAAAAACATGTAGGGATTTACAGCATATTCTCAGCCCTCCCTCCCTTCCTCCCCCCCCCCCCCCCTCACTCCCTCACTCCCTACTTCTCTCCCTCCTTTCTGCCTTCCACTTCCTTCCCCTGCCGGTGCCTGCTTCGGCCGCCAGGCTCAGACGACGTATCAGTTGCGCGCATCGCGTTCCAGCATGGGGTGTGCCTTCGTCGCTCGGGACGGCGGGAGGAGGCGGAGAGGGTGCTCGGCGAGTGTGTCAAGACCCTCGAGGCTAGGCTGGGGGCGGGGCACGAAGAAGTGGCCGCGGCGAAGAGCATGTTGGATTCGTGCGCGGCGACTGAGTAGGGTGACCACATGCTGAAAGTTTCCGGAACTTTGTCCACGAAAAGAATGGAAAAGTGTGTATGTTCTCTAATTGTTGGTATCAAGTGTATTTTTTGTTTTTCTCCCAAGTGTTTTTGTCCAAGTGCGATTTGGTGTTCAATCGTCTCTGTTCTGTTTTGGTCGTATCCGCGTCTGTTTGTTGGTTGTGCTATCTATAGTTGACAGGGTCGGACGTGGGTGGAGTAGCCTATTCGGCTGTAGATGCTGAGGCCGCCACACTGCCGGCAACCTGAAAAGCACATGTGTGCCTGTGCTCAGTTTGTACTAGTGTTGTTCGTAAACAGAAAAACATGTGTTCATTGTGCTTGAGAATTATTACGTAACTGTTTTTGTTTGTGCCTGCTGTGCCTACGAATCTTGTCTCTTTACGCCTTTTTTTTTTTAGGGGCCGTTGATTTGCGCTTGCGACCCTCTTCGCTCGTATCGACATGTGTTGTTTCTCACATACTTTTGCAGGATAGCTCGTTTTAGTTTCGGAGTGTTGTAGTGGTGAGTGTGTCGCCCATGAGCATCTGTCGCGTTCCACCAACCGGCCCACAATGACAGAGTACGTACGTAACGTGTAGAGGCGCCTTGTTTGGAAGCGGAGTCCCCGGGCAGGGGCGGGGGGGTGGAGGAGCATAGCCGTTCCGGTAAGTGTCGGTTATTCTGTAACGAAAACAATTCGTAGTCGGATGATAAATTAATTGTACAATCTAAATAGTGATGGTAGAAGGTGAGCTGCGTATTGAAAGCTTCATGTCTGATGCCGGCGTATATCTGTTGTTGTTGAGCTGTTCTGTGTCTGTTTTTATCGAGTGTTGTGTGTACGTGCTGCTGGTATTGGGTTTCTGATGGGGATTTTCGATGGCGGTGTTGTTTATTTTGGGGTAGTTGCCTGCTGCTTGAATCGCGTTGTTGTTGCCATGCCTGGGCAATCCCAAGAGTAAGCTAGGTGAGCACCTCTCTCTCTCTCTCTCCCTCTGTCGAAACTTTACTTCTCTTTAGTGCCACCTTTGATTGTCTTGTATTTCGCGAGCAACGAGCGTTAGGTTGCAGGGAGGATTATTTTGATGGAGGGTCCTCTGTAGAAGGCTTGGAGCACCCGTATCTGGGCACCGTTGGGTATCATACAGAACGCGCACACGTGCGTCGTATTGTATGTAGGCTAGTGCAAGCACAAGGAGGCATTGCAAGGTCTATCAAATGACCAGCTAGAGCAACTCACGATGCTTTTCTGTCACGGCGGTTGTGTGCATCCGCACGTACCCAACAACTGTAAGGAGATTGGTATCTTTACAAGCGGCCTGGTGCAGAGAGTGCAAGAGTTCACAAGTCTTACAGAAACGTCACGATGGGTGGGAGAAGTGTTGCGTCCTTGGTGGTAGAGTTTTTTTTTTTCTGTGTTCTTTCCTTGCGATTGGAAACCTGGGCAATATTCTATTGCTGCCGCTGTTACAGCAACATCGAGAGGGAAATGGGGCAGCTACTTACTGGGACTCGTCTATGCTGTAATAGTTTATTCTCACGTGTCGGAGAAGTCTTTCCGGGGCACAGCCATCACACCACGGTGCTGCTTTGAATAACACCACCCACCCGCAGAGTTGTGGGTTCAACAACAAGAAATACAGGAGAGAAACCCTAGCCCTAACCCTAAGGCGTATGTGGTAACAAACCGGCGCGTCCCTCTACGCTGGGACTACATCTACAACCAACCCACACACTTCTTCCCCCTGGAGCCATTTTTTCATTTTTTCCGTCCATGATGCTCTTGTAACACCAGGCGGTCTGCGATATCAATACCGACTGTGTCGGGAGTGAGTGAAGCCAAGGAAATGATCAACCGCTGCAACACACCTCCCATGCACTTGATTGGGGAGAAATAAGGCGTAATAAATCACTCATGACGGATGGTGGGGAGGTGGTGTGGTGAGGAGACCGCAGCGGTCGGCAGAACTCTTGGCTCCACTCACTACCATACATGTCCTACCGGTCGCCCCGGTGATCTAGTGGTACCCTCGTAATCCGCTAGTAGTCGCAGAGGTCGTGAGTTCGAATCCCGATGGGGTGAAAAATTTACGGAATTTGCGGGTGAAAGCGAAATAAAGCTTAAATGCTCTCGTGAGTACCAAACCTCGACGTTAGCGCCGTTGACGACGGAAAGGGACGGCTGGACCCTTCTCGCGATGAAAATAAAATTCAGCACGCACCGCAGGAGGGAGGTGGGGCATGAAAAGAATTAAAAAGAAGAAAAAAGCCCTGGTGTTTACCCCCTCCTGTGTGACCCTGGATGGTTGTATGTAGTTGTACGAAAAAATACACCGAAAGTGTACAGTTGGCGCCCGCAGTTAAGAAATATTTTGTTAAGAAATTAATTGAGGCTGACTTTTTCACGAAAAACAAGAAAAGAGGGTGAAGAAACATAGCTTAATCTGGGTCACACAAAAATAAATGTCTCAATAAGAAACAGCGGCGACCGCTACCCTCCTACAAAAGAAACGAGGGTTTACGAGGGAGTGTGTCGAATAAGAAACAAACCCCACAGCTCTCTCCTCGCTCTTTCCCCCTCTCTCCCGACCCCCCCCCTCGCATAGTGCATTATTCTAAGATTAGTTGTACGACGAGAGGGGGGAGGTTCTCGTGAAACTCGGGTTGGGTTGGTTCGGGTAATTAGTCGCAGATCTCACCCCGCTTCGCGGCAGGAGTACGACTACCGCGTCATCCTGCACTAGTGACGAAAGCACGCGTAGCATGACGATGCCATTGGAGTCGTACAGCACGGATGAAGACGCCGCAATTGGGGCGTGGGTCCTAGAGGTAGAGCCAAGGGAAGGGAGCGGGAAGCGCAAAAGGGTGACAACCCCCAATGTTCGCCTCACGGAGCTTGCAACATAATGACGGGGTAGTTTTCGTTGGCACGTCAGCGTGCGGGTGAGGCATCATGCGGTGTTTATGCATTATTTATTTCAGCCCTCACTCATGAGGGGGGTACAGGACCTTGGAGCGATAGCGAGACGTTGCCGTTGGATACATTTCGCTTCTTGGGAGTGGTGGCCTTACGTGCAGCCGTCGGTAGTGAGAATCGGGGTTGGGTACGGGGGTCGAGGAAAGCAGTGCAAATCATTTGTATATTTGGCACGTTGTGTATGTACTATGTAAGTAAGCAGAGAAATAAGAAATTGCCGATTTGAGAAATTCATTCAGCAGGAGGACTTGGCTGAACGAAAAAATAAGAAACTTGAAATAAGAAACCGAACGACATACGCTGAGTTTATATATAGCCCACAATGAGAATTCGAGGCTGGACCTGAAATAAGCGCCAACTGCTGTAGTACACGTCTCAGCACGAAAAATGGGGGGACCGTCGCCATCATAAATAGATAGTCTAGGACCATAACACACACAACACATACATACGGGTCCTACAAGCAATAGTTAAATTATGTCGCGCAAAGCGCGAAAAAAACGTGCGGAGAAAGAGACGCACACGTTGATAGATATGGATGGATGAAGCCTCAAAGAGAGGCCACCACTGCTACTGCACACGCTCACACCTCACCCAACACAACCAATCAGCCATGTACGCAGGGGGACTGCTGCTGTTTATTCCAGCGCGGGGAAGAGTGAAAGTGTTGCGTGGTGTGGACGAAGCTCTCATGAATCATCATCATCATCAGCTGCTGCTACTGCTGCTTGCTGCTGCTCCTGCTGTCGCTGTGTGGATGTGCACCATATACGCTCGTAGCAGCGGCAACGGGCTCTAAAAATCGCCCAACGACCGGATATGTGTGGGTGTATTTGGTCGCCTTGGCCGGCAGCGTGTGTAGTCTACATCCCAATGTCTCGCTGTTTTAGGGCGGGTCCGTTGTGGATGAAGAGAAGATCCGCCTGCAGACAGACCGGCGAAGATAGCCGCAGATCGATTGACTTGTGTGCACTTGCTTCATTCGCTTATACGCTGCCTGAGCAGCAGGCAACGGGCTTCAAAAATCGCTCTCGATGCTTCGTGCGAACGTAAATACTGACTGTAGATGCAGGATGCAGGATGTGCAAAAAAAATCTTGAGACACAACAAACGGGGTGGAAACCCCGGGCCGCTCTCTGAAAAAAAAAAAATCGTCAACGGTCGCTTTTCCTCCTACTCCATTTCCCCCGCGCGGGCAGCAGCAACCAATAACACCAGCTGCTTGTTACGTAGGTGTGTTTCCTGCTTGAAACTCTCAGTTTCGATGCCTCCCACGCCTCACCGGACCCGAGTCCGGCCCAGCCCGAGCACAAGCAAGTCCCCACGGCGCAGGGGGCTCGCTGCGGAGTTTGTCGACTCGGACAACGAGGAAGCCGCTTGTTGCGCTCGGTATCACGTCTCGGTCCGCAGTGCAAAGGTAACACACGCCGGTGCTGCTGATGCTGCTGGTGCTGCTGTGCCTGCAGCAGCAGTAGGAGTGGGGAGGTACAAAGTGGAAGCAGGAGAGGCGGTAGGGTAGTGCGCTTTTGGTCGGGGGGGGGCGGGGGGAGAGGAAGGCAATATACAAGAGTGCGACGCCCTCTCAGGGCAAGTAACGATCCATTTTCCGTTGGCCAATATGTACGCGGAAGACCTTGGGGCAATGATATTGTTGTCGTTGTCGAGGGCTTTTAGGTGGGTGCAGAGGGAACACGACCCCAACACGGCGGTCGCATAGATCTCGCTCGCCTCTGACGCGTCCCTCCCGTGTCGTATCGGTCGCGTGTGGTCGCTCTGTCTGTCGGTGTGTGTGTCTTTCTCTCAATCTCTAACTCTCCCCTCAGAACCTGAAGCGAGAGGGGTTCCGCGGGCTGACGAACCCGTACTGCCAGCTGAACGTCGGGAGGCAGGGCCCTTACACCACCGATGTCGTCTTCGATTCCGTCAACCCTTCGTGGGAGAACAATCGCCAGACGTTCGAGTTCAGGGTGAGTGTTGGTGGCGTGTGGAGATGATAGTGGGAGAGGAAGTTGAGAGTCAAACCGTCACCGCTGACCAGGTGTTGCGTCATGTGTGTGCGGGGTCACCCCCCCACCGCTGACACCGCTACCAAGAGAAAGCAAGCACGCGCCTTCCTAATGCAGGTACTTGGCTTGCCCAAGGGTGTTTTGGTTGCTTGAGGGGAACCCAGAGCTGCTTGATGTAGATGCTTCCTCCTTGTGACGACACGAAAACCGAGCGGGACAATAGGGGATGCCGACGCGTGTTGCCTAATGGAAACACTATGCAAACCGACAACAGCGGTGTGTAAAGATGCTCCTCTTTCCTCTTTTGATGAGAATCACGGGAGTAGAGCATTATGTGTTCCACCGCTGCCTATATTGATGCACCGTATATGACACAAGATAACACACACCCTGGACCGATTTTCAAATCTCGATTCTCAACAACAGAAAGGGTCACAGCGCCGAAAACGGCGGCGTTGGAACCATCTCGTCGAGAGCTTTCCAAAAATGTATCGTTTCGTTCATGCATCTTCTTCGTCCTGAAGTAATCGAGCTTTGAAAATTGGTCCAGGGGGTGTGTTATCTTGTGTCACATACGGTACGCTGCTCATGGCACCTACAGCAGTGCATCGCCGCGCGCCCAGGGTGGGCACCATTGTTACATCACGCTCTCCTCCTCTCGTTCGCTCTACAAGCTATTTACACACGTGTTTACACCCATGTGCGCTATGCTATTTAACATCTATGTACCCCCCGCCCCACGGAACGCCTTTGAACCCGGCACGCTTACTGCCGCGGTGACCATCACCCCCCCTCCCCCCCGGCCCGAAAAGGAGGCAAAGGGTCCGCAGGAGGATAAGCTGACGCTAGCATGCTTCAATTCTGGGGACGTGCCCGAGCTGATCGGAAGGCTGAGTGTGGCCCTGTCTCACGCCACCCACAAGGTCATCAGCCTTCCCATGTTCCGCAAAGACCTCGGGGTGAGTTGCTTGGCGCCCACCTGTTCGGTGTTACCCCTGCTCTTGTTTTATATTCTGGCTCGGACTGGTCGGTTGGGCTGTATTCTTGGTGCCGTTCAAGTTTACTTACGTTTTGCTCCTCGTTCACTGCTGAGACTGGTTGGGGGTTTGGTTTAACCAAGCAAGCGACTAGAAATTCACACCACCAGTTGACGGGGATGTCGGTTAATTATGTACAAGTCCGGTGCCTCGAGCCCATGTCAAAGCGTTGTGGTTTGCTGCTTTCGTCTGGGGTGCATGTTCTTGTTTTCTTTTCAGGACAAACGCAGCACCTGCTTCTACAGTATGCTTGTCATTGTCTCCGCAACCTGCACATGTCGAAGCGACCAAGTGGCCTACCTGAAAAGAAACAAACCGCCCGCGTTCTCCGAGGCCGCTGGCCAGAACGGAAACTGGGCCAACAGGAAAGAGCAGGGTGTCCTAGTACCCCGTCGTCATTGCCCAACAAAATCGCCTTCCCGTAGATATGCACACAATTCGCGACTTTGTCCTTCCCCCCGACCTTCCTCCTTCCCTCGACGCTCCACGTCTATCATCATACCAAACGACGCACAAACGCTACGCCCGACACCACGACATCGTACCTACCGCGCCAGGGGTCCCAAGTCTGGGCGGGTAGCGTCGAGATCGAGCTCCACTACATCCCGGAAGGCGAGGCGGGGTCCCCGGCTCGCGGCGGACGGGTAGGCAGGCCCGCCCTTGATGAGACTGATGTCAACGGCGGCTGCCACAACCCCTACCCGCCCATGTCCCCGTCCGCGACGACGACGACGACGACGACGTCCCTCGCCTCTTCCTTCGTCAAGGCGGCCTTGTCCTTACCGCACAAGCCGCGGGCCTCCGGCGGCGCCGGCGACGGCGCGGCAGCGGCAGCGGTGCAGGCGGAGCTGCTGGCCCTCTCTCCGCGGACGGCGACTTGGGGAACGGAGAAGAAGAAGGGGATGTCGTCTACGAAGTCGCCGGCGTTGGCAAAATCGAGCCTTCTGCCGGGCACGGAGAAGGCGGCAGCCTCGTCCTGTTCCTCCTCCGCAGGAGCCCACAAGGGCGGCGGCGGGAGCGGCCGCTACGGCTCCGCCGGGGCGGTGGCAAAGGAGGACCTGCTGCCCCTGTCGCCGAGGATGGCGAGGGGGGCAGAGGCAGCGGCGGCGACTGCCGTGGCAGAGGCCGCCAGGGGGCGGGGTTACAGAAAGGGCGACGGCGCGGGGTGTTGGAGCTGGAAGCCGTTCTTCTGCGGGGTTGTGTTCTCGGCGCTGCTCGTGTTGGGGGGGTTGTGGGCCGTCGGCGTTCCGCTGTTGTCGGGACAGCTTGGGTTCGGCCTGAGGGTCCTGGAGGACGGCGACAACGGTCGGCAAGCGGTTGTTCTCATCCACGGCTCGGTAAGCGGGGGGGGGGGGGGGGACTTGGTGGCTGCTGGCCGTGTGGTAGTTTTGATCGTTGATGAGGCGTTCCATTCGGGGATGATATCCATTCGTTCTCCGAAGAGAGACGAGGATAACGTTGTCTTCATGTCTGTTCGACGTTTGTGAAGCGCAGTGGTCGCACGTGCAGTAATGCGGCCAACCGACCATGGATTGCCAACGAGGGAGAAAGAGACCCGGCGAGCACCACCTCCCTCTTATCCTTCCCCAACCAACCCCTCTCTTGTCTGCTGGTTCTCGCGGTTTCTTGTACCGAACGCGAATGCCTCCTTAACAACTCCGGCCATCGCCCTGAACCTGCTGCCCGATGGTGTCCTTCTGCACCGCACTCTTACCCCTTTTACTTCACCCTCTACCGGCGCGCTGCAATGGTACCAACCGAGCGCCTCACAATGCCCTCTTCTCTACCAACGCGCGCGTTGGCACACGTTTGTATTTGTACTGATTTGTTCGCCTGGAAAGAAAATTGCCGGGCTGGCTGACAGGCACCTGGTGGTGTTCGTGGGCGAGCAAGAGGTGTGTCGCGGGGGGGTGCCGGCCCCGGCACCACCGACAGAGGGATCATCGTGGGCGTACGACCTCTGGTCTTCGGATTCGGCCGCCGCTACCGCCGCCGGTGATGGGGGAGATGGCGGCAAGGGCCGGAGCGGACGCGGAGGAGGACGGGAGGTGAGGGATTCTTCGGGATCAACGTCCCTGTGTTGCTGTACCATCTGCGCGCAGCGGCGACGTGTTTGATGCTTTCTGGGCGTGGAGCCACTCCTTGATTCTGTGTGCAGTCCGTGGGCATGCATCATGCACTGACGTTGTACAGCTCAGTCTGACTCGCATTCAGACTTTTTTCAATCTAGTATAGGGCACTTGACTATTGGCGAGATCCCCAACGGTTAGATCGAACCGCGGCGCTTAATCCTTACTACCCCAAACGAAATTCGGCGAAGAATGAAGTACGCTTTTGTCCGCTCAACCCCTCCTCAAGTGATGCACCCACGAACACGCGAGTCCCTCCCGCCCAGCCCCACCCGTCGTACGCGTTTGTACGTTCAATGAATTGGGGTTGTTAGCGTTTCTCTGGACACGCAAACTTTCGCTGATTCTGCCCGAAGTCACGTGCAAACTTCCCAATCTCTAAAACGCGTATTCCCCGGTGCCCCCCTTCCCGCTCTCTCCCCTCTCTCATCTGCCCCCCCCCCCCCCCCCCCCCCCCCCCCCCCCCCCCCCCCCCCCCCCCCCCCCCCCCCCCCCCCCCCCCCCCCCCCCCCCCCCCCCCCCCCCCCCCCCCCCCCCCCCCCCCCCCCCCCCCCCCCCCCCCCCCCCCCCCCCCCCCCCCCCCCCCCCCCCCCCCCCCCCCCCCCCCCCCCCCCCCCCCCCCCCCCCCCCCCCCCCCCCCCCCCCCCCCCCCCCCCCCCCCCCCCCCCCCCCCCCCCCCCCCCCCCCCCCCCCCCCCCCCCCCCCCCCCCCCCCCCCCCCCCCCCCCCCCCCCCCCCCCCCCCCCCCCCCCCCCCCCCCCCCCCCCCCCCCCCCCCCCCCCCCCCCCCCCGACATCAACATACACAACAACACGGCTCTTGGTTTCCACTCGCAGCAGAATATCGGCGACAACGGTGGAGAATCTGATTGCGGCCGCTGGTGTTCTTTCTGCCGCTGGTGTTCTCTCTGCCGCCGGCTTGCGGCGCCCCTCTACGCCGCCCGGCGAGACGGCGGCGGCGGCGGCGGACTCGGCACCGACCTCTGATGCTATCACAGCAATCCCGCTCTCTCCCCGCTTTTGGGTCTTGCTCTCCTCTCGTACACCCGACCCAGGATGGTTGTCGTTGTTTTCGAGAGGAAGGTTTTTCGTCGGCACAGAGGACAGCAGTGGTGCTGCGAAGGATGGGAATGCACGAGGGGAAAAAGGAAACGGGCAAACACGTGCGGTAGGCGCGAAAAGGAGCCAACGCGGTGGAGTACATGCGGGGGGGACCAAGGTTGACCGCAAGAACTGGGCGCCCGCGAGGACTCTCTTGCGCGACTGCTGTGCATGTGTACGTGCGATGTGATGGTGGAGCCAGAGGGGCGCGAACGAGCTCTGCTTTGTTGGCCTGCCTTCTTTCCTAGGGCAGTCTGACTGGCTTGGCCTGGGCTGTGTCCTTTGCCTGAAAGCGGTAGAACTCTAGCTCTGCAGAGCTAGGCCCGCATCAACGCGCGCACGCCCGCCTTGCGTATGAAGCAGTCTTTCTTGCCTTTAGAGGAGTTGTGTAGTGATAAGTGGATTCTGAACGTTGTTGTGCGCGAGCTTTCTTTTCGTTTTTGTCTATTCCGTCTCGTACCAGTCTCTTTTTTTATTTCGTTCTTCGGGTGCGCCGTCTTCGGCAGCGTGCTTGTGCCTTTTCGCGTAGATTGTATGGACACGGTGTCGGAAAGGGACGAGGAGAAAGACTGCCAAGGTTTGACTACAAACACGTCCAAGAGCATCTGCAAGAGCAACATTCAACTTCTTGATTGGACAAGAAGCGTGTGAATAGTGCAAGTATTACTTTAGCCCGCACCTGGTTTATTTGTGCTGGTCTTGTACGGGCGTATTAAAAAATACGGTAGCTCCTTTGCAAGGGAGGCCATCCATGGTGATCCTTAACGGGACCGAGACTCATCCAAGGGTGTAATGCGGTCTTCAACAATGTGTTGTGGCAAGCTAGCTAGTGTTTCCGACCACTACCACTGGGAAGGCGGTCGGAATCCGGTTGAACATTTTCGCTCGCTCGTGTAGAATGAATGTGTGTCTCCAGCTCTTGTCGTTACTGCGCTGCGTGGAGAGGCGTTGCACTCAGAGAGAGCTTGAACAGTGTATCGTGGAGAGACGGGAGGTGGGCGTGGGCCTTCTGTTGTTGTATACCGGTATGTAGTTGTAATATCTTGGAGGCCTCTGAAGGGCGGAAGAGTGATGAGGACAGCACAGACGGAGTACGCGACGTGACTGGCTCACTTCAAGGGGCGGTCGTGGTTGACCGTGTGCTCGCTCCTCTCCCCGCCCTCAGTTCCCTGCACCCTTGATTGAATGGCGGCAATCATGTGGTAAGGGTGATGGAGATGTTGATGAAAGGTTGGGTACGAGGAGGGAGGATGCTAAGGGGAGGGGTTAGTGTCATTGAAGGAGTTACTCATTTTCGATTTATATGCACGCGTTCGATTTGCATCTGTTACAGTGGGGTCTTGGCCGACCCCTAAATTGAGAGAGAAGAGATTCGTTGGTTCGGGTCGTCCTAGAATAGTTTACTTGTCCCAAGATGCGACACTACAGCAGTGCTGTGACCGAATCTGGGTTGCTGGGTGTTTTGTTGAACGTGAGAGGGCGAGGTAGTGCCTTACCACCACCCTCACATCGCCGCTGCCTTCCTCAAAGATATACCCCGGACGATTTTGCTTAGCGTCCTTCCCTTGTTATCTTCCAAAACTAGGGCGTGTTTCTATTCCGTGGACTAGTGCGATACAGCAGTGTCCAGTCAGTCACATGTGTCGTGAGGAGACTGGATGACTTGCGGTGGTAGTGGTGGCAAGGATTGAGATGGAGCACACGGAATGACACGATGATCCGCGAGAGTGAAGAGAGGGGGGTGGATACTAAGACACCGGACGCACGTCTCGTTTGCAGACTGTTTCGGGGGCGGGGTACACACAACTGTCTGGTAGAGAAACACCCGGTCTGAAGCCTGTCGCATCTGTCCGGAGAGAGGTCTTGATCAATCGATGATGGATTGCCTGTTGTGATGTGGCACGAAAAAAATAAGTGAATGACTTTGGCGCTGAACCTGCAAAACGATGTCGAGCGTTGAGGGACGTCGGGACACGCAGAGAAAGTATTTTGTCACGCGTTGCTGAACAAAGTTTGTAGGTAATCAGGATGAGACCGTTCGCTGGTTTCACATAGATGTATACCTGGGAACGGTAGTTTAGGGCTATCTTGTACATGGGATGTTGAAACGATTTGTTTCGCGCGGGGCATGTCTGTCCCCGCAAGGGAATAATAGCCTTGGCAGAACAGGGAGGGTAATTTGTTGGTCGGTCCGGTGCGTGCGGTCGTCATGTCCGTTTTGCATCGATGATCTTCGTTGAGATTAGAGTTGTGTGTTCTCTCTCGCTTCACGATTGATTGAGCGGGCAGGTTGTTTATCTCCCCATCAGACGGCATCTCAAAAAGAAAGGTCAGGTTATATAATACCCTACCATCCGTCTTCCTGTTATAGCAGCATGGAGACAGCAACTATTACTATTATAACAGCAGGAGTATAGTGAAATTCTTCGCTGTCTCTCTCTGCGGTGCGTGCCTTCATTTCAAGATCCCCGAAGAGAACGAACACTTGACACTTTGCTGGCTGCCTGCCACCTCTGCTGCCTCTTTGGTGCGGTGCCTACCCTACACTAATGCGCTGGTGCATACTACACTGCTGTAGTACCTGGTACTGGTGTACGTTGTCCTTCGATTTTTTTTTTTTTTTGTGGGAATATATATGTGTTTGTTTTTCGCCCCCCGTCTTGCTGCACCCCCTGGGGTGTGGTGCAGGGCGGGGGATGCCTGGTCGGCGGGAACCCGGCACGGAACCCTCCGGCGTTGTAGGCGGGTGTGGGAAGCGTTCCCCGTTCTCCTTTTATTTTATTTTGATCGGTCTCCTCGACGCTCTTTCTCGATTGGTGCGGTAGCTGGTCTTTCTTTCTATCATTTTGTTTCTCTTCCGAGTGGTTTTTGTACCCTATTTTTTTCTGTTTCTTCGTGGGGTCGTGTATGCCGGGTTTTGAGACCACGGGCTCCCAATCTTTCTTTTTTAGAGCTAATGTGAGAAACAACAACAGCAACAACTGTTACTGCTGTAGAGGGCGCCTTGCCGGAATTCCAACCTAAAAACGTTTTGCCGGTGGACTGGACAGGTCATCTAGTCTACATGTATGTATACCTACCAGTCACACACAGCTGACTCGTACGTAGCCTTCGGACACAAAAAACAAGGTGTCCCCCTCCGTTTACTTTAAACAAGAAGGGCGCCCAGTGGACAGCGCACGGGTGGGTCGCCTCGTCGCCTCCGAAGGCTTTAGAAGGTCAACCTGGTCGCTATCAAAGGGGGATCACAGAACGCGACCCCACAGACAGGAAAGAAGGCTGCGAAGCATTTTCGCCGCGTCGATCCGCGACGACTTCGGGAAACAAAGTCGTCGCCGAAGGCAGCAACAACAGTAGCAGCAGGTCGAAACTCGCGGCCGCTTGCTTGTCATGCTGCTATCTGCCAAGGTAACCGCACACCTACGAAAGATGGACACACGAAGGTTGAACACACGACTCATCTCGAAGAAAGTTACATCGCGATCGGGATTGTTGATTGATTTGGCGCGAGCGATCGACTCGTTGAGGTCGGGATACTTTTGTTCAAGATAACGAGGGTCCACTACCGCACTATCTCTGCAACAATGACACCCAGTATGTAGAACGATCTCTTCATTTTCTCTCTCAGTTTTCGTGTTCGTTGTGTCCCTCTCATCATCGCGTCGTGCGATGCAAAAAGTTCACGATTGTGGGTCGTCCCCTCGTCTCGGAGGCGTGATGCCTGAACAGAGGAGACGGGAACACGGGGATGACCGAAAAGAAAGGTTTTGCCGCGCCTCGATTTTCTCCTGTCGCGCAGGGCTGTTGCCTTCGACACAAAAGTGAAAGCCTTATTTTGCTTTCTCAGCAACCGCTACACTACCCAGCGTGCTAGTACCCAGTGAGAGAGCAAGAAGCAAAGCCGAGCAGTATGCGCCTGTCATACACGCTCGCCGTGAGCGCCCTGGCCGTCGCCGCAAAGCAAACATGCGCGTTCCACGTGAGCGCGCCGGCGATCGCGGCGACAACCAAGACCACCTTCACCTCGTCCACGTCCGCCATCAGCGGGAGGCACGCGGCCACCGCGGTCGCGCCGGCGCGGAACGTCCTGCAGGCTTCGCTTAACGTGCCCGGGTCCGGGTGGGTCCGCGGCCGCGCGGAGCGCGTCAAGTCCGCGCTGGTGCTCAACTCCGGTGACGCGACCGCGTCGGCCGCGGGAGCCGCTCCCGCCAAGGAGAAGACTAGCACGCTCAAGGTCGGCTTCTACCTGTTCGTGTGGTACAGCCTCACGATCGGGTACAACATCTACAATAAGGCGACCCTTAACCGGATGAACATCCCGTGGATTCTGAGCACCGTCCAGCTGGCGGTGGGCGCAGTCTACGTGAGCTTGATCTGGGCGCTCGGCGTGCGCAAGGCGCCCAAGCTGTCGGGCGAGAACCTCAAGGCAGTGCTGCCCTTGGCGGCCCTCCACACCACCTCCCACATCGCGGCGGTGGTCGGTCTCTCTGCCGGCGCCATCGGCTTCGTACAGATCGTGAAGGTGTGTGAGAGTGCTGGTGGCTGTTGTTGCACCGCCTTCGGTGGTTGTAAGCACAGAGCACGACAGCAGTAGTATGGTGCAGCAACATTGCAAGAAGGGCAAAGCAGCTGCTGTTTTTTCGTTGATTCGCGCTCTTTTCCGTTTTCTCCTCTCTCGTTCTTCGTTCAACATAAATCTAGCTGCTCCTCATGTATCTGCGAATCGAAAATGGATCGTTTTTATTGGCTGCTCGAAAGCAGGAGCGTTGATTCATTGTTCATGTTTTTTGCGCTCTGCGCGTGTTAGCGCACCGATGCTCTATCCCTGCGGTACGTGTGCAGCGCCCAGGTACGAGTGGAACGAAATAGAACTCGTCGGGGGCGGGGGCGGCGGGGGGGTATTGACATGTTGCGAGAAAAACGATGATATTCCGAACCGAAGTTATCTCGACGATACCTCGCCTTCAAGGAGTCGTTTGTTCAGATAGGCATGGCTTCGACCTGCGGCAGCAGTGTACATACGTCAGTCACCTACCCACCCAAAGATACACAACCGGTGGTGCTTCAAACGAGCCAAATTCCCACGCATAGTGCTGGCCTAGTTTAGCACTTTTCTTTGTGGATTTGTTGCGTGCGAAGCACCCTTGGTGCCCAGCGCGAGATCAAAGTTGTAGTTCGGTCCAGTTTCGAGGTTAGTTTGAGGAACTGATCTTTGAGAAACAGGAGAGCGACAAGTATATCAGGTGTGGTTACTCCTGGTACAGGAATTCCGGGGCACCATAATTTTGACTACCTGCGGTTGTCGCTGGTTGAAAGGTGCCGAGTATAATTAATATCTATCCTCGTCCAGCCCTGGCTTAGGCAGCCAGCAACGCAGAGCTATGCACTTGAAACGCTTCTTTCAAACAAGCAGTGTATAAATCCTGGAACAGAAAAATTAATGATGGGGCATCGTTTGAGCTGCTCCCGCCTGCCCACCCCCTTCACACCTTCAGCATTTGTACACGACACTGCTGTCTGCTGGTGTTGCTGGATATGGAGTACTCAACTATTAGCGTTTCAGACACTCGCCCAGTATACGCCATTCCATCTTGTCTGGAAATACCTCAGTACCATCCCTTTGCATTGCTGTGTGAAGCCATTTGAGAACTAACGATTCCTGCCTTTACATACTAATCTGTTGACGCTGTGAAAGATATATACCGTATATGACACAAGATAACACACCCCCTTGACCAATTTTCTATGCTCGATTATGCGACAAAGAAGAGGGTCCATAAATGACACAATTCATTTTCGGAAAGCTCTAGACGAGACACCTTCGACTCCACCGTTTTCCGCGCTGTAACTCTTTCTACTGTCGAGAAATCGAGTTTTGAAAATCGGTCCAGGGGGTGTGTTATCTTGTGTCATATACGGTAGGTTACCGATGGTTTGGATATTTGAAAGACAATCAATTATCTTGAATTTTTTTCATGTTGCCTCTATTACATGTATTCTACCCTGGAATCTAAAGCATTTGTCGGGATAGGGAATCTGGTGGTGTCTTGGCACAGCCAGAAAATGCTTGGAAAACAATGAAAGTAAGGGGTTCATCAAGTTTCCGGGAAGCAAGCGCTCGCATGCATTGCAGTACTGACAGTTCACGACGGACGTCCTCTCAACAGCAGTGCAGTACCTCATTACACCTTGCACACACTGCCTCTCGTGGCCTCGATTTGCCTGCGGTGGGTGTCACGCCTCCGCGTTCACGAGCTGAGCTCAACACCTCCTTGAGTTGTTTTGTGTCCCCCTTGTGTGTCCTTTCGCTGCTGGTGCTGGCGCTGGCGAATTGTTTAGTTTCAACCGTAGAATATATAGATCATACACACAGGACTCTCCACCCGTTCGAGATATAACCACAGCCATTCGAAAGGGATGTTGTGATTTCATTTGTTGTGACTGGAGAGAAACTGGGTGGAAACTCGGCTTGTTTCGAGTTTGTTTAGGCCTACACATTGAATTGCATCTGTGATACCAGCTGGTGCTACTGTAAGTACAAGCATCTGCATCGTTAAGATACATTTTAAAGTGTTTGTATAGCCTGGTGATGATGTATCATACACATGCTCCAAGTGTGGCTTATGCGACCTAAAAATGTACATCGTCGGCCATCAGCAGGATGGCCTGCTTCCAAGTAACCCACAGACGTTTCCGTTGATTACTGTGCAGCACAGAGTATGCACAGCAACGAACGTATTACGTATTAGCGCGACAAATAACGTACATCGCGGCTCTAGCCTTGTCGACGGTTTCGGTTGGTGGGAAGAAGCTGATTGATATTGATCACGCCAAGATGTTTTCCTATTTTTATTCATGCGCGTTCACTGATGATGTTCCGTCCGTGTGTCTTAACCGCCGGGTGTGTGTGTCTTGTCTGCTGTGTTGTGTAACTCTTTCTTTGCTTTGTCGCAGGCGGGAGAGCCGCTCTTCACGGCCCTTTTCAGCGCTCTGTTCCTGGGCCAGATCTTCGCCCTGCCCGTTTACGCCGCGCTTCTCCCCGTCGTCGGCGGTGTCGCCATCGCCTCCCTCAAGGAGCTCTCCTTCACGTGCGTTGTATCATTGACGTTATTTATTTTGCTTATTCTCTTCCCCATCGAAGCTTGTCCAGTCTGTACGCACTTTTCTGTGTCTTGCTGTGTTACGCCCTTCACGTCAGTTTGTAAGATGTTTCTCTTTGCTTCCCAATCATACATTTTCCATTCTCCGTAGTCTTCGGTGTTTTTCTGGGGGGGGGTTGCCCTCTCGAGGAGCGCTTGTTTGCTTCCGTCTTGTACGTGCTGCCTGCAACTTCCGGTCGTCATAAAGGGAATAAATAGATTACAGCACCAACAAAGTCGGTCGGTGTCATGTGGGCGACTTCGACGACGAACACGAAACCTCGTTGGAAGCGTAGATCGATCCAAGATCGCGTGTATTCGCGTCGCCTAGTCTCTACAATAGCGCTTGCTGGGTTCACCACCCTTTCTTTTTTTCTTCTCTTCTCGGGGAGGTCGGGCAGAGAGGAACACGGTAAATGACGTCTATCCACAATTGCAAAGGAGTGGGAGTGACTGATGGAATGACACACCTTTGTATCGCCCATGAATGAACCTCCCCGATATTTCATTATTTCTGGGGTTTTGTGCGGCTTCTTTTTCGCTTGGTCATTCTCCTGTCCGTCACCAAAATGACCAAAATTTTGACCGGCCCCGACATTCGTGTGTTGTTGGTGGTCGGACAGGTGGCTGGCATTCGGCGGCGCGATGACCTCCAACGTTGCGGCGGCTTCCCGCGGTGTGCTCGCCAAGGTGAGAATAAATAGCAGTGGTGTCACACGCGTGCGTTCGTTCGTTCGTGGGTGAAGAGAGAGGGAAAAGTTTTGCCGAACCTCGTACCAGGTGTCGCTGGAGGCGTGTGTGCCACTGCACGGAAATTCCGCCCTGTGCTGGCGCACCGGAGCGCTATTTCAGGAGACAGAGGTAAAACCTTGCGGTACAAAAGGGACAAGCGGCGGCAAGCCTCGGTTGGTCGTGGGATGGCGCAACAGGAGGGGGCGGCGAGGAGAGACACCATCACGCAGGCACACCTCAGTTGGTAGCGTTGTGCACGACACCTACTGCTGTACAGAAAACGAAGCGTTGCTGTTGGTCCGGACAGCCGCCGAAACAATCGCGGTGGCGGCGGAGGCAGCCATCTTGCCTTTTGAGTTGGGTTTACCTGTAGAGCACAGGGAATGCATGAACGAGTGCGAAACCTTGCCGCGGGGGGTTGTATCTGTGCAAGGAGTAGGTAACGATGCTCCTTCTCTCAAACGACGGCGGCATGATATGGTCAACAACACAAAAGTGACCGATTCGGCCAAGCGTAGACTGAGCCCTCTCCACCCCCCCGCGCGCGCCGATGCACGCATCCGCTTGGCCAAACGTGCTTTTGTTTCTACCCCAGGCGTCGATGGACAAGCCCAAGGGCGAAAACATGGACGCGGGCAACCTCTACGGCGTCATGACCATCCTCGCGACGATCATGCTCGCCCCGTTCGCGTGGCTGGTGGAGGGCAAGCAACTGCAGGGCCTCTACGACACGGCGATCGCCGCGGGACACACCAAGAAGACCCTGGCCAAGGGGGCCCTCTTGAGTGGAATCTTCTTCTACATGTACAAGTGAGCCTCGATCCGTTGTCGGCCGCGGGTGTTGTGGTTGCAAAACACCATCTTTTCACGCGCAACAGAGTTAAAAGAGGCTTCGGGTCCCATCCTCCTGCGGGCGTGGCATGCACTAGAAAATACGCAGCTCGGCGCCGCTGCAAGGCCGAGTGGCGATGTGAGTCCGTTGCCCAGAAATACTAGCCAAGATTCGTCGAACGTAGGTGGACGAGACTCCACATAGAGGCAAAGAAGGCAGGCAGTCGTTGGGGTATGTCCGTAGGTTCCACTTTCAGGTGAAGCAACGACCATCTCCCCCACTTCATGTATCTGTCTTCGGGGCGATGATTCTACTCGGCCATACCAGCACGACGACGAACGTCAACAGCATGCACGGAACTAGCTTGTGTGTTGCAGTCATCGCTTGGTGTGCCGTGTTTTTCAAATTCAAGTACGGGAGAGGGGCGGTGTGACAGCAGCGACGTGTCAAGGCCATCGCGAACACGCGGCATTCTGCGCGATCTTGTTGCCGTGAGGGCGAAGTATCAAGAACTGTGGCATGCCCCGTGTACACGCCCTCCCCAGCTGCTACCCTTTGAATGGCGTCTTTTGATTGGTCAACGTGTTATAGCGGTCGATGAAGCTGCAGCACGCACAGCACTGATCGATCGATGTGTGATTGTTGACGCAACCACCGCTGTATCGCGTTTTTTTTTGCCCACTTCCTCTCTTCGCCCGTCGTGGTGTTTTCGTGCGTCGTCGGAACTTGGGGGTTTCGCAGCGAGGTGGCCTTCTACTGCCTTGACGCCATCCACCCCGTCACCCACGCCGTGGCCAACACCGTCAAGCGCGTCTTCCTGATCGCCGTCAGCATCCTCGTGTTCGGCCACAAGCTCACCCCGCTCGGCAGCATAGGCTCGGCCGTCGCGATCGCCGGCGTGCTATTGTACTCGCTCGCCAAGCAGAAGTTCCCCAACAAGAAGTAAACAGAGCCCGGGGAAGCTTGATTGTTTTTCCGTTTCGCCTGCTCCCTCTTGGATGTATTGATAAAGCTTTTGACCCAACGAATACGTTGAAATGCTTCTTTCATTGGTGGTGGTTGTTTTTTCCGCCTTTTCTTCTTCGGTGGAGCATCGTTTGTTGTGGGCGACTGTCTACAGAAGGAGAGGGTTCGGGAAGCGGGAGAGGTTGGGGGGTGCAGGGGGGTTCACACAATTGGTTAGTGAGTGAGGAAGAAAAACTATAGACTAAATAACCCGGTGTGCAAAGAGAGATAAACGGAGACAAGTTTGCGGCGTACAGCAATGTTTTCGGACTTTAAATCTGTAAGAGGCGGGTGGGGGTAGTGGAGGGGTTTAGAGAGGACACGGGAATTACTGTGCCTTTGACGGCGATGCCTCGCGCAGAAGCTGGCGCGCGTGCGTGTTTGCTTTTTGGAGGATTTTCCCGGGAGGGGGGGGGGGGGG